TAACTGAATCACTTTGTTGTATACCTGAAACTAAGACAATATTGTAAATCAACTATATGGCAATCAATCAATCAATCAATGCAACTTGTTTGCTCTAAGGAAAAAAAAGAATACATGATGAGGTCTCATCATAAGGAAAATTTTTTTCTATTTCTTTAATGTTGTATCTATATGAGGTAATGGATGGCCACTAAACTTACTGTGGTAATCATTTCATGATGTATATAAGTCAAATCATTATGCTGTACACCTTAAACTTATACAGTCCTGTATTTCAATTATATCTCAATAAAACTGGAAGGAAAAATATCAGTTAAAAAAGTGTCAGCAAGGATGTGGAGAAATTGGAACTTATACTCTGTTGGTGGAAATAGAGAATGGTGCAGCTACTATGAAAAAACATATGGAAGTTCCTTCAAAAATTTAAAATAGATATATTGACATATTTTTTATATATACATATATATTTGGTATGATATATTTACATATATATGTAAAACATTATTCAGCCTTAAAAAAGAAGGAAATCCTACTATTTGTGACAACATAGATGAACACAGAGGACATTATACTAAGTGATAAAGCAAAACACAGGTAGACAAATATTGCATGATTCCATTTATATGAGGTATCTAAAATAGTCAAACTCACATAAGCAGAGAGGAGAATGGTTTGCCAGGGGCTAGGGAGAGGAGGAAATGGGAGTTGTTCTATAGGTATAGTTTTAGTTTTAGGATGAGTAAGTTCTAGACTTACAACATAGTGCCTATAGTTAAAAATACAGTATTGTGCATTGTAAAATATGTTGAGGATAGATTTTATATTAAATGTTCTTAACATACACACACATGAAAAGCCACAAAAGAACAAAAGGAAATTTTTGGAGGTGATGTATACGTTCAGTGCCTTGATTATGGAAATGGTATCATGGGTATATGTCTATGCCCAAACTCATCAAAATGTATACATTAAATACGTTGAAATTTTTTATCAATTACACATAAATAAAGCTTCTTTTTAAAAAAACAGAAGGGACACTGCTTATGATTTATGTCCCTTTAATTAGGAAAATAAACTTTTCCATAAGTCAAAGCATATTTCTTTTTGTGCCTCATTGATGAAAAAGCACCTGAGAAAAGTAGTGTTAGCTTTTAGAGTCTATATTTTGAGAAGGATAAGGAAAAGTCATGCTTAAAATGTTCTGGGTTCATCAATCAACAGTATTTGCTACAGCAGGAGTTCTCTAAAATTAATATCATTATTAAAGAACTTATCTAAAAATGTTTGACAAATTATTGTCTCAACACTCAATCCAGCTACTAATAATTATAAGCCTCCTTCAAGTGTCTAAGTAAGCAACAGTAAGTGGATCGTGTATGCAACAATATAGGAATTATATAAACCAGAATGTTCATAGAATTAAAAGCTTAATCAGATAGCAATAACACTGACACTGAGTGAACAGAAACTCCACACAAAGTCAAAATGGGACTACTACTAGTAAAATCAATTTTGACACAGGCCAACTGAAATCCTAACATAGGTCTCTGAACCATGCTCTGGCTGCAGAATGAGGTATAATACGGGCCACTGACCTACCTCCACAGCATTCCAGATATGAGCAAAGACAGAGCCCTGACGCTGACTAAAGTCGGAAACCACACCTTAGACTTACTTTGGCCCAACATGCATCCCCGATTCTGTTCCTATTCATAGTGGAAATCCTGGCCACATATTATACTCTAATATCGTCCATAGATGAAACGCTAACTTCACTCTGAAACAGAACTAGGGCAAATCACAGGTAATATCTTAACATGGCAACAGACTGAATATTAAACTTAGACACTTACTGTGCATTAACACTAGTTACAGACAGAGGCCTAATGCTGGACCAAGAATAAACTTTAACCATGAACACTAATTAAAACTTCACCTGGTAGAACAGTGAACACAGTCCTTTTGAACCATAGTTCAAATTCTTATGTAGCCTTTCCCCAGGCCACACAATCAGTATGAACTGTAATCTCGACTAACCTTTGATTGATTCCCAAACCTAGAAATGAAAGTGATTCCAACACTGGCCAAAAAGTAACATCAAACCTTGAGCAGAGCCCTAACTCTGAATTTGGTCTTTCTAAGGCTGTTCCACAGACTGAGCCTTAGCACTGATCTCAGAATAAGGCCTCTCTTATATAAACTCAATCCTAATACTGGCCAAAATTTGAACCCAAATCTTGTACATTGACTTCACAATGAGTATAATCCAGGCCACACTGGACCAAAGGCAGCCTCAGAGTGAGCTTTTACACAAGTCAGAAATTTGCTGATCCTTGTTACAGAATGAACCATGGCTGTAACAGTGGAGCCAAACACTGACAATGGCTGAGCTCTAAATTTGGTTCCATGGTGCTCTAACCATGGATCCACACTGACTTGTAAAGATAGCAACAGACTGACTAAGACAATCTAAACCAAAGATTGAAGCCAAACACATTCCACATTATAAACCTGAACCCTGACCATGACTTCAGCTATACACTGGTTCTTAAGACTTAACCTTGGCCTACTAACATACACATCCCAAAAAGCTTTGTAGAAATATTGTCACTGCTACATATTTTCATTATTAATCATATTTATTGATTATTTCTTCCTACTAAACTCCAAAGGGAAGGGATGTTGTCTGTTTTTTTTCTCCTCTCCTCCTCTATTCTCAAGTATGCATGGAATAGAGGTGCATGGAATGTTGTAGGTACTCAATAAATATTTGTTTACTGGATGAATGAGCAGTACTTGTTATTCTTTTGTCTTCTTATTTGACCTCTCTGTACAGTATTCCAGTGATTATACTTTGTTTTCTGTTGGTTCATCTATTAGGCCATTCCTTCTCAGCTTCTTTTGAAGAATCTCTTCCTCTACCTACTTGAGTATCGTTCTTTTCTAGGGTTCCATACTAATCTTCATCCCTTTAAAAATTACCATTCTGAACTCTCTCTATATGACATTTAATCCATATTTACTTATTTAATTATCGTCTATTACTGATGTCTCCCAAGTGTTTCATTCCAACCCAGACCTCTCTCCTCTGTTTCAGACCCACCTTTCTTTGCAGCCTATCAGGCATCTCCACACAAATGTTCCACCGACTCCTCAAATTTTTAAATGTCCCAAACTGAGTTCCTCCTATCCTTCACAAATTCGCTACTCTCCCTGGGTTCCCTATCTTAACAAATTACTACCATTCACTCTTCCACATCAGAACTTGGAAGTCACACTGTACGCCTTCCTTTCCTCCCCTTTCCATATCCAAATTATCATCAAATCCATCTTATCATATCATTTCCTTGCTTAAAGTTCTTTGATGGTTCTTTATTGCTTTCAGGTTATATTTTGAACTCATTAGAATGGCCAGCTATTCTTGTCCAATCTAGTTCCTGCAGTAGAGAACTTTTTTGTTTGTTTGTTTCCTGCACTCTCTCACATCCTTATTTCTCTGTATGGAATATGATTAACCTCCCTCTCCCAAATCTGACAAATATCTTACTGGTTCTTCAAGCATCATCATTCAAGCATTGCTTTCTCCATAAGTGGAATGAGTTCTTTCTCTTTTACAGTCCTACAGAACTCTATATAGAACTTTTTAGAGCACACTAGCTTCCTTCTTAGATTCTGAACTACTTGAGAGGAGTGACTACTTTCCAATTCTGTAACAACTGAGTCTAAACCAGTACCCTGCACAAAGCAGTTTGCTAAATAATTTACTGAATCTATTAAGTCCTCTTTTTCCTTCACATCACTTTTTTAAATGTTAGGCAATTACCTTAGCAAAACGTAATTCCTCTTTCTTTCCCTTCATTCCATTTGTGAGTCAAAAAGTTGTCCTTATCAGTAAAATTGTAGTAACCCAACTGTAACGATCCATTCAGCTATAAGGATTCATCTCTAGCAAAGAAAAGAAAAGCCAAAAGTTAGGAGTGAAATTAGCCCTAATAAACAACCACTTTTTTCAACCTTTTAATCACCTGAAAGTGCTTAGGTGTTCCCACGTATTTCTTTATCCTCCTCTTTTAATGTATTTTTTACTAAAAAGATAGCTTCTTAAAGAAATGTACTTATTTCTTATTATTCAAGTTGTACTGTCTATCTGTTCTAAACTGCTGCATTACACCAATGACTGTGGCCACTGTTCTTTATAGCAACAATGTGGCTTCATCATGGGTTAAACAGGTTTTTTCTGGGCTGGCTTCAATCACATTTCTATGCCTGTTGTGACACCATTTCAAAAGAAAAAGATGATTCCTAATAAGAAACAAAATACACATTTTTCCCAGAACCTTAAAGTCATTCTAATGCAGATGATTCACACAGAACACAATCTGACAATTTTAGAGGACTAGTTAAAATTTTAAGCCTCTCAGAACATAACATTTTTTTAAAAGCCACTAAATCAAAACTCAATGAGAATTTCAAATCACGATATAACGTGCTTCCCCCCAAATTCTAATCGTTTAAGCAACAGTAAAATCAATCTAGAACCTTCATCTGCCCCCACAAGCACAACCCCATACCCCAAGAAGGGAGATTCTGTAAGACAGCACACTCCAAACTACAACATCCAGAATACCCTCCTCGAGCCGAAACTCTGGGGACAATAGGAACTGGGCGAGGGGGCTGCGTTGGGGGAAGGGAAGCGGTGGGGGGGGGAAGGGAAGCGGTGGGGGGGGAAGGGAGGGCGAGAGGGGAGGAATTGTGGGTATTAAAAAGTAGTGTCTCGACTCCATCTCCCACAATCCTCTGTCTTCACTTGAGTCTTTCCCCCAATGCCAACAGTGGATTCCACTCCCCCACCCGCAGGAAGAACAGCCCCCAGCGACCTCAAACTACATTTCCCATGAGGACAAGGGTCGGGCCTCCGGCTTCTCTGGTGACCGATAGCCAATAGGAGACGCCGCAGCGGCCACGGTGTAGGGGAGAGCCCAGCCTCCCGCCGGGCGCCGGGCCTAAGCCGGCAGCGCCAGGCGGGAAGTTCGGAAGACAGTCGCTTGGCTTGGGGCGCCGCCAGGCCACAGCCCGACCGGAAGCTGCCGCATCGCCCCGATTTTCCGCGGCTCTATAAGGAGTAGCGCTTCGGTAGCCGGGGAGCTGGAGGTCAGAGAGGCAGAAAGCCTAAGCGGCTGCGGCTGGGGACTGTGGGACTGAGAGGCCTAGGGAGGAGGGTGCTTCCGGGGTCGCGAGCCTCAGCCCTGACTCCGCCCAGCTCCGCCTCCGCGGGAAAAGGGGTGTTGGGCCCCGAGTCCGGGTGGGCTTCCGAGCTCGCCGCGCCTGTTCCCTGGAGCCTCGGGAGCGCGTGCTTTTTTCTCTTTTTTCTGAAATCTGCCCGCTGTGTTTTTTCTCACGAAGCCACCCCGTGTCCCCCATTCTGGCCTTGTGCCTCCTCAGACGTCTGAAGTTAGGGTTCTCAACCAGGGTCTTCCCTAGTGTCTGGACTCGTATTACTGTTCAGAGGAATTGGGTGATCTTCCTCGCTTTTCTCAATTTACGTTTCAGGTCTGGGCGCACACCCCTCCCAATGCACGCACTCCTCATTTCCCTTGGGAGCGTGGGAATTCCTTGCCACGTCCCAGGCGTGACTTTCTGTCAACTTTTTTAGTTTCTGCCTCCTTGATCAAGATCGTCCCCATCTCTTGACTGGCCCCTCCAGCTACTTGCCCTTTCCCCTACCACGTCTCTGGAGTGGAAAGGGTTTCCCCTCTATTTTCTGAAGGGATGGAAACAGATGAGGGAAGAAATCTCCCTTTTGAGAAATATGTATTTAAGGTTCAGTGCAGTTTTCTGGTGAGAACAAAAGTCAAGTTAGACCTATTTTTAAAAACCCAGCGCTTTAGGGCTTTTCGGCAAGCATTGATGTTAACAAATATTTAGGCGGTACACCAACTACAGAATAAAGTAGACCGTGCAAAACACGGCTGTCTTATTTTATTATTACAAACGCGTTCAAAAAGTGCTTAAGGGTTAGTGGAAGGGGTTACTGATAGGGTGGGGGGGTTGATCTATGGAAAGTTAAACCTAACCCTGAAAATGCTGAAGGCTTTAAACTCATCTAGCTTCCAGACCAATCCTGGTAGGCTCTGGGAAGGAGAAGAATTTTAATTTGGGTTTCAAAGGAGTGAAGGGGATTTGGAAAAAGGTGGATAGAAGAGGGAGCACTTGTATAACAGGTGGGCTTCCCTGACTGGAGTAAAACGTGTCAGCAGAGATAGATTGGGAAAGAAATACTGTTGAAAAGCTTGGGATCATAATAATAGGACACTTTAAAGTATTCACATAGTTTGGATATTATTCTGTGTCAAATAAAGTTAAAAACAAAAAAAAATTAAGATTGGGTGATTTTTGTTTTTTCATCCTAGGGGAACCTGATTTGAGATCAATTCTTGGAGAACACAAAGAAGTGTGGTGGTATGTTCCAGGTGTGAGTTTAATTTAAACCCAAGAAGAATTTTGTCTTCTAGACTGTTTTGTTTGTGGCTATTCTGAGCTACACTTTATAGTTGTCATTTTTAAAGCCTGGTGATACAAATTTATTTTCTTAAGAAATGCATTTGCTATCCTTGTGTATCATAGTATCTGAGTTGTAGTCATTTCATTGGGCAACAATAATGATTGCTATTTATTGAGCCCGTAAAATGCTCCAGGCTCTATCATAAGCACTTTGTTGCATTATCCTGAGTCTTATGAAGTAGGTACTATTCGTCCCATTTTTCTAGAAGAGGAAACTAAAACAGAGAAGTTAAACAACCTACCTAAAGTCATATGGGTTGTAAGAAGTTAAGTTGGGGTTTGGGCGTATAGATTTCTGAATCCAGAGCCCATGCTCTCTCCACCGTGGTTTGCTGGTCCTACTGTTCACTTTTGTTGTTGACTTTCCATTTGTAGTAAGGAGAGATTATTGTGAGATATACTTGATCGTCTTGGCAAAAACCCAAATGATTCACTTTTAGTTTCTACGTCAGTATGTGTCTGCTGTAAAGTAGCTGCCAAAACCAAATTAGCTTACCTGGTATTGCAGCCATAGCTAATTGAGTCTGTCAAAACTATAGTCAGTATCACTATATCTAAATTAGATGATTCTCTTTATAAAACATGTCATACCTCTAAGCTGTTTGGACCTGGACAGTACTTTGGGTTTTATTTTAACCATTATTTTAAGTGACCTTCAGGGGCACTTGGTCTTCTCCATGACCTTTGCTCCACATGAAGTATTGGGAAAATAACAGAGTACATGGTGTGAACTCTCCCTATGTTTAGTTTCGGTGATAGATGCCCATCATTTTGAAATAATGTAGTAGTTAGTATAACAGAGACAGGTGCAAAGTGCTATGGGAGGATGAAGGAAGGAGCAACTAACTTTGAGGGAGAGTCAGGAAGAAGGCTTTTGTGAGTAGCTGACATGACAGATAGGTCTTGAAGGATAATAAGTTTGCCAGGCAGAGAAGAGTAGAGGGGAGGCATTGCAGGTGGAGGGAGCAGCCTGTGAAAGACATGGGATTTTACAAGAGCAAGGCATCTCCATTCAGTGTTGAAGAATTCAGCATGGCTGGGCTACAGATTGTTTGGGAAAAGGAAGATATAATGGTGGAAGAGTCTGGAAAGATAGGTCGGAGCTGATTTGTGAAGAACTTTGAACACAACGATAAGAAATTTGGATGTGCTCAGGTAAGCCAGTGTTTTTCACAATGTCGGGCATCTACCACTGGTAGTTATGTTGTACTCCCACAAACATTTAAAGTTTTATTTATTATATATTCTAATGTGGCTTGCAAACATAAAACTGAATTACATCATCAAATCTAAGGTCACTTAGGATATGGCTTAGTGAAAATATAAAGTTAACCAGTTTTAAGTTGATTTTAAGAGAAATATTAAGTAAAAGTACCCATGGTGTGTGAATATGGAAAAATCAGCAAGACTACTCAAATGACTGACATCTGGAAAGTACTACTTGTAAGCAGTAAAAAAAAATTAAAATATTTTAAAAGAGGGGTGCTGTGATCAGGTGTTCATTTTAGGATGCACCGGAAGGGGACATGACCAGTTAGGAGGCTAGTACTCCATTCTACAGAGAGAAAATTGGGACTTGAGGGAGCAACATATGAGAGGAGGGAACAGAGTTGAAAGACATTTAGGAGGTAGAATTTGTAGGACTTGGTAGACTTGAATATTATTATTTTATCAGTGTTATTTGAATAGTTTTTAAAAGCTTGTATGCCACTTGCCTGTTACCCTTTTTGTGCAAAAATGAGCGTATCATTGCCTAAATCAGGCTATGTACATATATATATCCATTAAGGTAGCAGTGGAGGCTCTTGTCATGAATGGGTTTAGATTACATATGAGCATCCTCATGGCCTTACTGAGTGTCCTTGAGAGCAGTGGCACAAATATACGAGGAGTATGATCTGTGATCCTTAGCTATCTGAGAAACTCCTTTAAGACTCAGCTCAAATATCAACACCTCTGTGAAGCCTTTCCTGCAACTCCCCCTCCCTCCACCACACACCCACATGCATGCACACAAGAAGCAGTATTCCACAGGACCCTGCACTTACCTCTCTTCTAGCCTGTACCACACCATAATGTATTGGTCTGTGGATGTGTCTGTCTCTCCCCTAGACTGCAAGCTCCTTGAGGGTTTCATTTATCTCAACACTCAAAGCATCCAGAAAGGTACATGGTAGACATCTAATAAGTGGTGATTGGATGAAAAGAATACATCAGCATATTCACATTAATATAATTCTGGATCTTGGTATCACAGAGTATCAGATGCTACAAAAAGATTAGCTATTTGCTACATTTGCTCCTTTTGCAGAGTAAAGCAGTAAATTCAAGTGACCTGGGTATATAACTTCACTAGAAGTTTCTTTTATTTTTTTTTTCATTTTTGTCCAGTCTCTTCTGATTGTCTTATCTCTTTTTCCTCATTTGTTCACCCAGCCACCTGTTCCTTAGGCCTGCCCATTGCTTTGTTCCTCCTGACAGAGTTCACATTGCTCCTGCCCTGATACTTTGCCAAGGATCCGTCCCTCTTCTCCACCCACCAAATCCAGTTGACTACATCTTTGAAATCACTCTGAAATGGGTCTCCTCCTCACATAGACACTGCTAGTGGGACTGTAATTTGATATAGCCCTTCTGGAAAGAATTTGTCAATATGTATCAAAAAATCTTAAAATTGAACATAGCTTTCAACCTTTAACTTCTAGGGCTCTATGCTGAGGAAACGAATGTGATGTTTCTAAAAATTTGGCTCCCAGGATGTCTATCCCAGAATTGTTTATAATAACGAAAGCAAAAAAAAAAAAAAAAGAAAGAAAGAAAGGAAGGAAGAAAAAGAGAAAAATAACATTTTAAATGTCCAATACTAGAGGTTTGAATTAAATCAATTATGGGACATCTGTGGATTACTAAGTAACCATGTAAACTGATGTTACCAAGGATATTTAATGATGTGAAAAGAAGTTTATGATATATTAAGAGAAAATTCAGGTTATAAAGCTGACAGATCCCAGTTTGAACACACACACAAACACACACACAAATATATATCGTATATGCACCCCCCACACACATCTGTGTGCACATATATAGGAAAAGTCCTGTAATGTTAAACAAAAAAAATTATTAATAGAGTTTTCCTATGAATAGAAAGATTACATGAGTTCTACTTTTACCTTTTTCCCTATTTTTCATAATCCTCTATAATGATATATTTGTACATTTTTCAGAGTTACTAAAAATGTTTTCCCCCTGTCCATCCCTATTACCATTGCCTTAGTTTGGAGCACACCTACCCAGAACACACATATACCTTCTACCCAGGGTTACTACTACCTCCCTCCTGCCTCCCTTCCAATCCTTTCTGCACCAATGCTGACAGAATAAATGATGTTTCCTAATCCCAAGTCTAGAGCTATCTAGCTGTATATAAAATAATTCAAAGGCTGTCCATTGTCCTTGAGATAAAATCCAAATTTCTTAGACTGCTTTATAAAACCTTTGAAAATCAGCTTCTTGCTTTTCTTTCCAGCGTCACTTTTTCCTCCAACAATTTACTTTTTCTAAGAGTCTTAGGCCAGTGCCTGGCACATAATAGGTGTCTAATGCTAACCAAGTATCGATGTGGATTATATGGGTTAACTATTGTGTTCCAGGCAATCCACCAGTGCTTCATTTCATCCTCAGAGTAAAAATGTTAAATACATACAATAGTTATCCCTATTTTACAGATGAGGAAAAGTAAAATAAATAAAAATGGGAAGAAAAGTAACCATAATAAAGAACATTTTTTAAAGAGGAAGTCAATTCCCCCCACCCCCACCATAATACAGCTCTCTTCGTTTTCCTGCAGCCCCTGCCAGTCTTTGTCAGTACGCACACAGACTTTGTTCATTCCCTTGGGCAAGTTGTAAGTGACCACAGCATAGCAAGAACAGTCCAGACCGGCATGATCTCACCATGTCACTGTTCACATTGTGTTAATGTACAGAAATCTTTCCTTTGTGTATATAACACTTCATGCAGGAGAAACAGAAGAGCTCCAATTGCTCTGTTTTTCTTTCTGTTTTGAAATTTTATGTCTTTTGGGATGGGGATGTCAGCAGAGAGCTACAGAATACTGTGATAGAATTGAATGTACAAGAAACAATGTGTCTCATGGGAGCCAATGTCATTGGTTAATTTATTTTTTTAAATGTCATGTAGATATATTTTCTAGCGATCTGTCCCCAGGGAGGACCTTGGTTGAATTCAACTGTAAATCCTATTTACAGAATGCAGCCCATGCGTGCACCATATTCTTGATTGTTAAGTGATCTTAGACATATGTAGTGGATTACCATAATGACATACAATCAGGTGAATATAAGATATCTGATTTTCTCTACAAAAATGTATCAGTGTTCATGTTGTCATTCAGGATTCTACCTTGTGGTCTTTCCTTCATTTTGCTTACAAACAATACCCATTGTACAAAAATGGATGCTCTTTAAAGGATAGAAGTCCTAAGCATGAATTATCTGAATAAAATATTGTCACCTTGTAAGGAATTCTCACTGTTAAATACTCTAGGAAAAAGAACGTATAGTTCTCCAGCTCCAAGATCAAATATGTTGAACATAGAAATTACAGATTTAGTTTTAATTCATTTGATGAATTATTGTGGGCTTACTGTATGCAAAGCACTCCACTAGAAACTGCACTAGATACTTACAAATACCCCCCTTTTAATGCCTTCCAGACAGACACAGATCTAGTGTACATATAAGAATGAGTGTGCAAGAGCAAATGGAAGAAAGAGAAGGTTTTCAATAAGCAGGCACATATAAATGAAAATTTACTCTGCTGAAAATTGGGATACCTGCCAGTAGGGATTTATTTTTTTTTCTCCCTCTGTCTCTTTCCTCTGTGG